CAAAAGCGCCCAGCTCAGCGTCGGCAGCGACACCATTGACTTATAGAGGGGGCTCGCGCCCCCTCTCAGCCCCCCGGCCCTGCCCCGGAGACGTGCAATCGACTTCCCACATGGTGCTAGGCCCCGACCCGAAATCTGGCGGGGGGGCCCTGGGCTCCGGGACCTGAGTTCGAGTCTCGCCTGGGACCCCAGCCTCCTGCACTTGATACCAGCAATAAGGGGCTGCAGCCCCCCTCCACCCAGGCGAGCATCCCCTGTTGTGACAGGCTCTCCTCACCACCACTGGGGCCTGAAGAAGGGACCCTTGAGACTCCAGGGACCCCCCATCCTGTACCCCCTTCCCCCCCGCAGCCGGCTGCTGACCCCCTGCAGTAGCAATGCCCCCGGTGCCTGTTCTGGGCTCGGGGAAGGGGCCGAGGCCTCGAGACCCAACAGTGCCAATAAAGGATTTTACCCACTGTTGCTGGGTCCTTTTTGGGTGGGAGCAGGGGGGCTGAGCGTGGCCCTGGTCAGCCTGGTTGCACTGGGGGGTTTTGCCTTCCTCTGCAGTGGGGGCACGGGCTGGGCCTGGGCTCTTTGCAGCGCCCGTGACCCCCCCGGCACCAGCAGGACGTTGGCGGTCGCGGCCCCCTTGTATCCCGGGGGCTGTGTCAGTGGCTCCGAGGTTGGACATGGGGTTTATCTGGGCTGGTTTGGATGGGGCTGATCCTGCTTGGACTGGATGTGACCCCTCAGCTCCCTGCCAGCCCCATAGGACTCTATGGGTTCTCTATGGACTACGAGATGACCTGGGGGCTGGACCGGATGTGACCCCACAGCTCCCGTCCATCCCTATCCTCTACGGCCCTATGACCCCCGACCCAGTGGGCACAGGATCAGGCCCATTGTGAGGCTGGACCCGCCGTGGTTGCCACGAGGTCACGCGCGTGTCACAAATGCCAGGCCTCCCAGGGTTGGTTTTAACGGGGCTCCCTGCCCCAGTGCCCCAGACCGGGAGGGCACCAGCCTCTCTGCCTGCCTCTCTGATGCCTACGGAGGGGATCTGATGGCCGGAGCCGGGCCGGTGGGGGTCATTGAGCGCCGGGCACCTCCTGGGTACATCTCCCTCGTGTCGACGGACGCACCAGCTGTTGCGGAGCCATGAGAGTGGGGCTGATTGACTGGGCCGGGAGCTACCTGTCCAACGAGTGCTTCCGGGATGGCGTCACTGCCCTGGGAAAGACATTGGGCAGGAAACAGGTGAGGGCAGCGAACGAGCCTCTGCAGGGCCCGGGACATGCCACCCGCTCCCCTGGCAGCTGTATGCACCCATCTACCACCCTGGAGGTGTGACCACAGCAGCAGGGGACGCTTGCATGGCTCTTGGGGAGTGGGGGGATGTGTGCATGCATGCATGTGGGTGATGCGTGTGCGTGTCTGCATGCATGGGTGGACTGGGGGGAGGACAGGGTGTGCATGCAGGCATGTGTATTGTGTGTGCATGTATGTGTACATGTGAGCATGCTTGCATGTGTGTGCGTTTTTGCATGCATGGGCAGATTGTGGGGGAGGAGGGGCTGTGCATGTGTGTGTGGGTGATGCTTGTGCACGCATGTGGATGTATGTGTGTGTGTGCATGTGTGAGCATGTCGCATATGTGCGTGTGTATGTCTGCACATGGGTGGCTGGGGGGAGGAGAGGGTGCATGTGTGTGTGGGTGATATGTGTGTGCATGTGTGTACAAGTGAGCATGCATGCCTGTGTGTGTGTGTGCCTGTCTGCATACATGGGTGGCTTGGGTGAAGAAGGGGGTGTGCATGTGGATGTGTGTGTATGTCTGCACATGGGTGGCTGGGGGGAGGAGAGGGTGCATGTGTGTGTGGGTGATATGTGTGTGCATGTGTGTGTACATGAGCATGCATGCCTGTGTGTGTGTGTGCCTGTCTGCATACATGGGTGGCTTGGGTGAAGAAGGGGGTGTGCATGTGGATGTGTGTGTATGCATGCATGTGTGTGTGTGCATGTCTGCATGCATGGGCAGACTGGGGGGAAGAGAAGGTGTGCACATGCATGTGTGCATACCTGTGTGCTTGCACTGTGTGTGTGTCCCTGGGTGCTTGCATGTATGTGTGTGTGCCTGTATGTGGGCACATACACAGTCATACCTGTGTGTGCACGTCTGTCTTTATGCGTGTATCCATGTGTGCATGTGTGTGTGCACTGATCTTCCTAGCAGAAGGAAATGTGGCATACAGCAACAGGATTTCTCTGCCAACGGTGCCCTGCCCTGCTTTGGGCACATCCTGGAAGCCAGGTCTCTGCAGAGGGCACCCAGTGCAGACTCCTGTGCCCAGCTGGCCTGGCCTGGGCACTGATCCCAGCCTGTGCCCGGGAGGGGGAACCTGGACACTGCAGGCCTCTTTCTGCAAGCCCCTTTAAAAGCTGTCTCTGCAACATGTTGCACGGCGGGGCTAGGGCCATGTGCACGTGTGGGCCTGCATGTGCCATTATAAGTCCCGGAGCGTGTGCATGTGTGTGGTGGATGGGTTTGTGTGTGTATGTGTGTGTGTGTGTTGCCCCTGTTTTACTGATGGGGAAACTGAGGCATAAAGGGAGAGAGGGAATAGCCCTCCTGGCCCTGCATGGCTGGTCAGGAGATGATGCAGAGCTGGGGCCTGTGCTCTCTTCTAAGCCACGGGCATTTTCTTCTCGGGTCCTCTCCCTGTGTTCAAATCTGGGCCCAGAAAGAGGCAGGGGCTCGGCCAGGTCCTTACTGGATCCCAGGGTCATGGGAGAGTCCAGCTGGAAGGGACCTCACGAGGCCACATCGTGTCCAGCCCCCTGCTCCATGCAGGATCTCACCTGCCTAAGCCAGCCCTGCCACGGGTCTGTCCAACCGGGTCTCAAAACCCTCCAAGGATGGAGATCCTACCACTCCTCTAGGTGTCTGTTGCAATGCCGGACCCCGCTCAGAGTCTGACCACTCCTCGTCTCCAGCCTCAGTTTCCCCGGCTGCAGCTGGAGCCCATTGCTCTTAGTCCAGTCCCCTGTGGCCACAGAGAAAAGCCCGTCTCCATCCTCTCCGCCATCACCCTTGGGGGACATGAATGCTGTGATCAAATCCCCCCTCAGGCTTCTCTTCTCCAGGCTCAGTCTCTCCCGGTTCTTCCAGCCTTTCCTCATCAGTCTTGTCTCTCACGTCCTGATCAATTTATCGCCTTGCGCTGGACTCTTTCCAAACTCCTTCAAGTGCAGGGCCCAGAACTGGATGCAGGACTCCCGGGGAGGCCTCTGCAATGCTGAATGGAGCGGGGAAATCATTGCCTGGATTTGCAAGTGATGCTCCTGTTCATACAACCCAGGAAGCTGCTGGCTGGGATTGCAACAAGAGCGCGCTGCTGGCTCGTCCGTTTATGATCCGCAGCCCCCCCCAGCGCTGCAGCCTGGCCAGTCGTTCCCCCGGCCGGTCCTGCATGCCCTTATTCCCTCCCAGGTCCAGGCCCTTGCACTTGTCCTTGCTGAATCTCATCTCATTAATCACAGACCATTTCTCCAGTCTATCCAGGTCAATCTGGATCCAGCCCTGCCCTCCAGAGTGTCTGCGACCCCACCAACGTGGTGTCATCTGGAAATCAGCTAAACATCCCATTGTCCAAATCATTAATGAAGATATTAAACAACCCCAGATCCATGAGAGACCTCTTATAGAATCACAGACAACTTGGGCTGGAAGGGAGTTCAGGTGGTCACCTCTAGTCCAACCCCTGCTCCAAGCAGGACCAGCCCCAACTACATCATCCCAGCCAAGGCTTTGTCTACCCGGGTCTTTAAAACCTCTAAGGATGGAGACTGCACCGCCTCTCTGGGGAGCCTGCTCCAGTGCTTCACCACCCTCCTTGTGTAAAAATTCTTCCTAATATCCAACCTCAACTTCCCTTGTTGCAACAGGAGCCCATTGCTCCTTCTGTCATCTGCCCTCGCTGAGACCAGTCCAGCTCCAGCCTCTTTGCAGCCCCCCTGCAGGGAGGTGAAGGCTGCTATTCAATCCCCCTCGGTCTTCTCTTCTGCAGACTCAATCAGCCCAGTTCCCTCAGCCTCTCCTCACCAGTCATGCCCCGAGCCCCACAACCATTTTCTGGACTCTCCCCAATGTGTCCACATTTTTTCTGTAGTGGGGGCCCACAGCTGGACACAGGACTCCATATGTGGCCTCCCCAGTGCTGAACAGAGGGGAGGAATCACTGCCCTTGATCTGTGGCAATGCTCCTACCAATGCAGCCCAGGATGCCGTTACCCTTCTTGGCACAAGGGCACACTGCTGGCTCCTGGTCAGCTCCTTGTCCTCTGTCCCCCCAGGTCCTTTTCTGCAGAGCTGCTGCCCAGTCCATCACCCCCAGCCTGCACTGGTGCAGGGGATTGCTCCCTCCTCAGTGCAGGACTTCACACTTGTCCAGTTGAAGATCAAAGCAAAAACAAATACCACTATTAGCTCAGCTGGACTAGATGATGTCTTGAGGTCCCTTCCAGCCTTGCTTCTCTGATTCTATGAATGTGCACTCCTTTGCTAGGTTATATATAAAGTTAAAAAAAAAATCCATAGCAATGTAGGCAGAAAGTAGTCAAAAGATCCTGTATCATTCATCCCGCTGTTATTGCAGTTAAATGCACATCTCTTATTCAGGCTCATAAAACAAACTCTAGCCTCCTTGAGTATCTTAACAAATGCTCCAGTCATTTCCACACCAGAGTTCATATGACCACAGCAGAGTTAAAGTTTTTAGCTGGTGCTAAAACAGTCTGCAGGGGTGTGGGATGGAAGAGAAACATTACTGAGAATGGCCAAGAGACAGCAATGCTGCTGGAAGAAGTGGGGTTACCATATATCCGGGTTTCCCCAGACATGTCTTCTTTCTGAGTCCTTCATCTGTGCGGTTTTTTTGAAATAGGAGCAAATGCCCAGGAGTTTGCTGGTAGAACGGCATGTCCTGACATGTCCTAGCAGCGAGCGTGTTTGCCAGGCACCCGGGTTTTCCGTTTGCTGTAGAAAAACATGGATTTTCCTCTTTAAAGAAGGAAAGCGTAGGTTTCCCCTTGCAGGCTGGCAGCCTTTCATCCTGCAAGGGGCTGCTCAGGGCGATTGGAGGCAGGGGGTGCCACGTGCATCTGGGCGCACACGTGCACGTGGCTGGCATACAGCCAGGCAGGGTGTAGGGAGCAGCCGGAAATGGGTACGTCTATAGGGGGTGGGGGGTAGACGGCCAGAGTTTGGGGACTGTCTGGGGGTGTGTGTGTGTGTGCGTGCACGCGTGTGTCTCAGGGGTGTGTGGAGGGGATGGGTGTGTGTGGGGAAGGCGAGTGCCTGCCAGCGCTGGGAGATGGTGTCCAGGTGCTAGGGGTGCAGCAGGGCATGGGGGGCAGGGGCTGTGGGTTGGGAGTGAGGGGCACCAGCAGGGCTGGGGCAGGTCTGCCCTGGGCCTGAGGGGCACTGGGGAGGCGGGGGGCTGTGGGTGGGGAGTGCAGGGTACTGGCAGCCAGGCGGGCAAGCGGGTGTGGGAGGGCGGGGCCCCCCCCCCCCACAACAGGTGTCCTCTTTTTTGGAACTGGAAATATGGCAACCCTAAAAGGAGGGTTTCAATAGTGAAGCATCAAGAGCATTAAAAAGGAGAGAGAGAGGCCTTAACACCTGTACAGTTAAGAGATTAGCAGGGAGAGAGGAGATAATCACGAGCTGGGAAGCCCATGGGCTTTCTCAGCACTGCCTGGATAGAAATGCCACTGCCCCTTCCCAGGCAGTTTGAATGTTTGGGTGGAGTTTAGCCCCTGCCTCCGCCACTTTCCCTGAGCTGCTCTGCCCTGCGTGCTGCCTGGAAAGCCCTGCTGCCAGCGCCAGGTTGCGTGCCCGACTGCCGTGGCACGGAGAACAGGGCATGGCTTGGCATGGACAGGAGGGTGGCCATGAGCAAGGTGGGGACAGGCTGGGCTGCAAGCCACAGGGAAGGGCCTGGCAAAGCAGGGGAGGGGAAGAAGCATGGGAAGGAGCTGGGCCATGGGAGGGGATGGATCCATGTCCACGGAGAGGTGGGATCAGCAGCGGGGCGGGTATAGGGTGGAGAGGCCTCCCTCTCTGCCCCTGCACGACAGAGGTGGGGGTAACCCAATGCCCGGCTCACTCTGAACCCTTGCTCCACGGCAGACCTGGGAGCTGCGGGTGAGCCAGAAATGCGGGAAGCAAGTGGTGGTGGAGCTGCTGGGACACCAAGGCCACCACTTGCTGGTGGACCCCGACGGCGGGGTCCGGTGCGGGCACCCCGCCACCCCGGGGCAAAGCCAGTTCCTGCTGCAGCTGCACGGGGACGGCGCCTGGACCCTGCAGCAGCTGGACGGCGGCAAGTTCCTGGAGTCGGACGGGGAGAACGTGCTCTGTGTGTCCCACCAGCCCCGCGCCCCCCGCCACCTGTGGCTGCCCCAGCCGGCCATCCATGCCCACGTGGCGCTGTATCCCCCTGCCAGCCGGTGCTACGCCCGTGCTGATCCCCATGTGGACCAGGTGTGGGTGGCCCAGCCCGTGCCCTCCGGCCAGGAGTGTGGCTTTGTGCTGCGCTTCCGTGGCAGCCTGTGCCACGTGGAGACGGCTGCCCACACGTATGTGTCCCGGGCGGAGAAGCTGGCCCCGCAGCCCTCGGCGGACACTGCGTTCCGCCTCAGCCTGGTGCCCGGGGGCCTGGCCAGCCTGAGCCACCCCGACGGGCGCGTGCTGTGCCCCCAGGGCGGGCGACGGCTCCTAGGCCTCGTGGACCAGCCCTCGGAAGAAGACAGGTGGTTCGTGCTGAAGAGGTGCCCCACATGGGTCAGCCTGCGAACCCAGGCCAGGAGATACGTGTCCATCATCTGCGGCAAGTCAACTCCGCTTTCTGGGCTGAGCTGGGGTGGGCGGGAGGGACTTTGGGGAGACCCCCAAGGGCTGCAGGGACGTGGGGCAGGATGTGGCCTGGGGGCTTCGGAGCAGGGGCTGGATGGGGGGTACTGCCAGCGAGACAGCAGCTGGAGCATGGTGGGGTGGTTGGAGGTACCCTGGGGTCTGCGAGGTTGTAGGAGACAGGCCTGGCAAGGAGCTGCGGGGTCACATCCACCCTGTTGCAGGGGAAGGCAAAAACCCCCCGGTGCAACCAGTCTGAGCAGGGGGGAAATCCCTTCCTGCCCAGTGCAGCGTGGGGCTGAGCCTGAACGCGGGGGCAAAACCCTCCAGCTAGGACCCTGCGGGGTCGGTGCCAGCAGGAGCATTGGCACGGCCCAGTGAGACCCTTTTAAGGATGCCACACACTATTAGCACTGTGAGGTGTGCAAACACCTGCACGTGATTCACAAACCGGGCCCAGAGGGCTCCATCCTGCCCTGCCGCATCTTGCTGGGTTGTTTGCAACAGAAGAACGGCTCTAGCATTTTTCTGTAGCCAAAAACCGAGCAGGAACTTCTTTTGGCTGCCTGCGTAACCTGAACTCTGCCCTGCGCGTGACTGCTTTAGGGCATCGTCTTCAGTTTAATTGGATGCATGCCGTAATTTCTGTAAGACCCCGGCTTCATTCAGGGGCCACTCCAGAGAAGAATCAGGGCTAAAGTGGGGCACATCTGGAGTCCTGTGTCCAGCTGTGGGCCCCCACTACAGAAAGGATGTGGACACATTGGAGAGAGTCCAGCGGAGGGCAATGAAAATGGTTGGGGGACTGGGGGGACAGGACTGGTGAGGAGGGGCTGAGGGAAATGGGCTGATTGAGTCTGCAGAAGAGAAGACCGAGGGGGATTGAATAGCAGCCTTCACCTCCCTGCAGGGGGGCAGCAAAGAGGATGGAGCTGGGCTGGTCTCGGTGGGGGCAGATGGCAGGACAAGGAGCAATGGGCTCAAGCTGCAGCAAGGGAAGTTGAGGTTGGATATTAGGAAAAACTCTCTCATGTGGAGGGCGGTGAAGCACTGGAACGGGCTCCCCAGAGAGGTGGTGCAGTCTCCATCCTTGGAGGTTTAAGACCCGGCTAGACAAAGCCTTAGCTGGGATGGTGTCGTTGGGGCTGCTCCTGCTTGGAGCAGGGGTTGGACTAGTCCCTTCCAGCGTGAGTTGTGTATGCCTCTGTGAGGCTGTCAGTCTAGCAGGCATTGGAAGAAGTGTCCATGAAAAAGGCTGAGCTGGCTTGAGAGAAAGAGAGAAGATGGTCCCAGGCAGACCCTGGCTGCTGAAGGCCACCTTGGAGGAGTCGGGTCTACTCCTACCTCTGCTCCAGAGCTCCTAGGAGACCCCAGGGAAGTCCCCAAAATGTGGCTTTCCACAGTGTCTGGTTTGTTTCCTGCATCTTCAGGTCGATGCAATGTGCAGTGGTGAATCAGCACCAGGCTCTGACCCCAAAATGCCAAGGGCTCCCTGGCACCCAAAGCTAGTGGCATCTTTCTGGCCAATTCAGGAACCCAAGATTCGCCCCCTCCATTGCTGGCAGACACATAGCTTGAAGGACATTTTAAGAGGGACATGGAGAGGGTCCAGAAGCAGAGGCTGGATACACACTGGGCAGGGACGCTGAGATGTAGCATTGCTCTATTTGTGGAATAGAGGACCCACAGCCCCCTTCCACCTCCTAGGAGTCAGTGGAACAGGTCCTGGCCCCCCTGCACCCAGCACATGCACAGCTATGCTTGTCTTCTTTGTGCCTCAGTTTCCCTGCAGGGGAAAGCAGGCTGGTGCTACCGCTCTGTACTATGGACATCCTAGGAATAGGATTTTGTGGACTGAAATGGGGCTCTGACCAGGCCCCCTGGAAGGGCCCCATCATGGGGCATGTGGCTGGAGGGCGAATGATCACGTCCCCTTGCTCTGCAGACACAGAAGTGTACGCCGGCACTGACAAAGTGACACCCAAGTCCGTGTTCCTTTACGAGTATGACCGAGACACCAAGACGGTGCAGTTCAAAGCTATCAACAACAGCTACCTGGCCCAGGTGAACGAGTCTTTCTCTTCTTCCAGGGGGCCCAGAAAAAGCATGGGCATCCCCGCTATCCAGGCAGTGCTAGCACTGTTTTCTATGGATGATGTGCACCTGGCCCCACAGACCAGCCAGGAGAGGCTGGCATCCTCACTGAGTGCACAAAATCCATCCATGTACCCTAGGGCCTCTTCTCTCCTAGGCAGGGTTGCCAGCTGTCTGGGGATTGGGGGGAAGGTGGCACAGCACAGTGTGGCTCAAGGGTATCAGGACATGAGGGTGGGGTGGGGACAGCACGATGTAAGACCATTGCTGCAGTCAAGCAGGGTAAACTTTTACTGACCACCAAACTATTTTACTATCTTTGGGGCTAAAGCCCTAAAGGTGACCTCAGTCCTTGCTCCTGCCATCCAGGGCCTGGCAGAAGCATCTGCATTTCCATGACATAAAACACAGGTCTGTAAAAATGCATGTCAGGAAAAAGGTTCTGCTGTCAGTAAAAAAAAAAAAAAAAATTCACTGCTTGCCAGTATAAAAGTTTCCCTTGGGCCGACAACCTGGCTTTTGGGGACAAGGTCGATGAGAGATGGGCTCAGGGGTGGCTCCTAGCACCGGATGGGCTGAGCTCATTGCACCCCCTCGGCTCTCTGCAGAGGAAATCCAAGAGCATCGTGGCCAATGGGCTGCGCATGGAGCCGGAGACCAACTTCCGCATCACCTGGCACCACGGGCAGGTCGTCCTGCAAGCTTTCAATGGCCGGTACTTGGGCACCCTGCCTGTGGGGTTGGTGGTGGCCAGTGCCGCGCAGCCGGGTGAGGGCAACTCATCGAGGGCAGAGCTGGGGCACTCAGGGGTGGGGCTGGACACGCTCCAGGGGCATGAACCAGCAGTGGGGGGGTCTCCCTGCCCCCCCATGCCCCTATGTCACCTCCAGAAGCAAGAAGCCAGGACTTTAGGTCTCAGCAAGGGGCATGTGTATCCTAATGATGCCCCTGCCCCACCCCATGCACTGTGTCCCGTGGATCCCATCTCCCGTGCCCCCCACCCACAGCCTGGCATTGCTTGGGGGCTCTCAGCAGGTGGTGCCCAGGCAGGGAGCTCTGCACCCTAGGATGCAACAACCCGAGGAGGGGAGATACCCGATGCTTCTGTACCAGGCAGAAAGGGACCCTCTGGGGACCCCGGGCAGGGCAAGGGGCAGCCGGGGCTGGGTATAGCCATGTTAACCTCCCCCTGGCCTGGCACGGCAGGGCCCAACGAGGTGTTTGGGGTGCGCCTGTCCAACCGCCCCTTCCTGGTGCTGCACGGGCGGTACGGCTACGTGGGGAGCTCCGCCTGTCACGAGGCCCTGCAATGCAACTTGGCGGACCCTGACTGCACTGAGCTGCTGCCCTGCGTGCAGGGCATCTACCACTTCCAAGGTGAGGGCTGGCCCATTGCAATAGAGAGGCCCCTTTGGTCTCTCTGCATTGGGGAGCTCTTCCCTGGGGCCCGTGGGGCCCCTCAGTGCCTCCCACCATGTCATGACCCCCCTCTTCCTTCCTTCCTAGCTCATGGCAGGGGCTTCTGGTCTCTATCCTCGGACGGCACCTTCAGGACCGGGGGGAAGTTTGCCTTGAACTTCTACCTCGAGATGCGCGGGAACAATGTGCTGGCTGTCCTGGCACCCAATGGCTACTACCTGCGTGGGGACCGGAGCGGGATGCTGTGGGCAGACGGCGAGGAGGTCACCAGCGAGTGCCTCTGGGAGTTTTAGACACAGGAAGGTACCAGCCACTCTCCCCTTCCTGCTGCTTCAGGGGCTGCTCTGATCCCAGCTGGGGTGGCCGCGACTGTTGGTTCGATGATCGGTGCTGGGTAGAAATGCAGGAGCACCTCCGGTGTCTTGCATCAGTAAGTCTGGGGGTGTCCCAGGCTTCTGGGCTGTGCCGGGTGCCCCCTTCCCTGCTTTCTGTTCCCTCTGACAGGGGGTCTAAGCCTCCCCACATGGCACTGGTGCTGCAGCCCAGGCTGGGGATGGGGCTGGGCCGTGCCAATGCTCCTGCTGGCACCAACCCCGCGTGGGCTGGATCCTCTCTGGGTCCCTGCCCTGCCCCGCTCCCATCCGGGGTCCCGGCTTTAAGCCTCTATGAAACCCTATTTTCCAGTGCACGGAGGGTGTAGCCTGAGCGTCTCTGGAGAAATGGTTCCTGTCTGAAAAACAGCAAGTTTGCCTCATTAAAAACATCTTACAGGTTGGATACAAGACCCATCTGGATCCACCTGGGACATTTAGGGCCAGCCCGACCCAAAGTCCTGTGTGACGGGTCTGTCTGGCAGCTGGCCGTGGACATCGTGGACGGTCCAGCGCATGAGGGGACCCTGCTCTGTGCTTTTTCTCACGCGTGTGCTGATAATTGCTCTCCTACTCAGGCCAGCGGCGGGCGGGCGGGCAGGCGGGGGAATCTCCCTCACCCCCTGCCGGGTTTTCTCCTGTTTCTTAGGTTTTGACACCTTCTTCAGGCCTCTTGCTAAGTGAAGAGCAGCCCCTGGATCCCCAGAAGACCCTTGTTTGGCTGAAGACAACAAGCCTGTGGCATCGGAGAGGCAGAGAGCCCCAGGCTGAGAGGAAGATCTCCGGTCTGGGAGGAAGAGCCTGACCATCGTGCCACCGTTCCCACCGTGCCTACGTCTCTGCAGTCACGCATGGCAGCTGGCGTGGGTGGGACGTGGCTTCTGCTCTCAGGGTAAAAACATGGCTCAGAAACCCAAGGATGAGTGGTGTTGTGGGGTTGGAGAGGCTTCTTGACCTGGGAGCTAGCTCTGCGCGGTGCTGAGCAGGTTGCAGCTCTCTGCAACTGCCCTGTGATGGGGAAAGGTTGCAAAGAGTCCAGGTAGGGCAGCAGAAATGAGCAGGGGCCTGGGAGACAAGGCAGGTGAGGACGGGTTGGGATGATCGAGTCTGGAGAGGAGAAGCCTGACGGGGGATTTGATCTTGAAGGGTGATGACACAGCGGCTGGAGACACGGCCTCCAGCTGCAGCAGGGGAAACCGAGGCTGGAGACGAGGAGGCTGGTCCTATAGGGATTGAAACAGGCACCTAGAGATGGGGGGGAATCTCCACCCCTGGATATTTTCAGGGGCAGTTTGGACAGACCCATGTCTGGGCGGGTTTAGTCAGGGCTGATCCTGCAAGGACTGGGCTACATGTGAGGTCCTGCCCAGCCTGAAGTCCCTGGGGTCCTGGGATCCTGCGGCTGCAGCCAGTGTTGGCCAGAGGGCTGCAGGCTCCCAGCCCGGGCTGTGAGTGGAGAAGCCACCGCAGCCCATGGGACAGGGCTTTTCCCATCCCCCTGGACCTGCCCCCAAATCCCTTCCAGGTCTCACCTGCAGTCTGCACCTGGTCCCTTCCCTCCCTGACTCCACAACCCTGAGTCCCTGCAAACTGCAGGGGCCATGCATCCTCTTCCTCCTCCTCCTCCTCTTCCTCACTGCTGCTTGCAGCTTAGCTGAAGGTGCCTGGCCAAAGGGGACAGGGGAGCATCAGCTGAAAGAGAGAGGGCAGGAAGGGGAGAGGTCTGGGCAGGGGGAACTCGTCTCGGGGGTGGTAGGAGGGCAGCTGGGGGTCGAGCAAGGCCCCGGAGGCAGCTGTCAGGGGCTGGGATGCTGCCGGCAGTGTGATACAGGGGTCCTGAGTGCGTCTAGTGCCCCCGGAACTGGAGCCAGCCCGGCCCTGAGCATCCCGACCATTCATTGTCTCTGTAAGGCTTGTAGCTCAGCTTAGCCATATTGCAGGGGAAGAAAGGGGCAGAGGAGAAAGCCACGGCAGCCCTGCCCAGCCGGGGTGGAAGGGGTGTGAAGATCATAGAGTCCCAGAGCCGTGGGGCTGGGAGGGAGCTGCAGGGTCACATCCACTCCTGAGACAGGATCAGCCCCGTCCAAACCAGCCCAGACAAACCCCGTGTCTGACCTCGGAGCCATGCGACAGTCACCCCGACACAGCCCCAGGCATCGCTCCTGCTCCTGCCCCTGCCCCTAGGATACAGGGGGGCTGCGGCCACCAACGTCCTGCTGCTGCCAGGGGGGTCATGGGCGCTGCAGAGAGTCCAGGTCATGTCCCTGCTGCAGAGGAAGGCAAACCCCCCAGTGCAACCAGTCTGAGGGGGGCGGGAAATCCCTTCCTGCCCCAGTGCAGCGTGGGGCTGAGCCCGAGACCCTCCAGGCAGGACCCTGCGGGGTTGGTGCCAGCAGGAGCACTGGCACAGCCCAGCCCCAGCCCCAGCCTGGGCTGCAGCACCAGCGCCTCTCGGGGAAGAGAAAAACCCTCCAGTTACATGATCCTAAACTGTCCTGTCTCAGGGCAGGATTGAATGGCAGCGTTCACCTCCCTGCAGGAGGGCTGCAAAGAGGACGGAGCTGGACTATTCTCAGTGGGGGCAGGTGACAGGACAAGGAGCAATGGGCTCAAGCTGCAGCAAGGAAAGTTGAGGTTGGATGTTAGGAAAACCTTCCTCTGCAGCTGCTGGGGCTCAGCCTGGTCCGGGCAGTGCGGGCGCTGCACGGGGTCTCCTCTGCGGTTTCCACATCCCTGAGCTCTGAGTGGCCCCGAGGCAGGTGGGTTTTTGGGAAGTAGAAGAGCTCCATGTGGGCTCCCTAGAGCTGGGGTGCAGCGCGGATGCCACAAGGGCATGGGCAGCCTCTGTCTGGGGCACGCAGCAGGCCAGGCAGGTGGGTGCAGACATGTCGGAGCTGCTGGGGCATGGAGAATACATGGAGCAACAGCCTGGCTGGGAGATGGAAAAGCCAGGGCCTGCTTCTGTGTTTTGGCTCCATTGTGGAGTCACTTCTGGAGCCGGTGAGAGGAGGTGCCGTGGCGAGGCAGCTTGCCCCCCGTGTGCACAGCCTGGGGACTGGCAGCAGATGCAGGCCTGCTGCTCCCTGCTCCCCATCTTCTTCCTTCATCTCCTAGCAGCATCACTGCCATCTCCTCTGGCTCCAGCCTGCTCCAGCTGCCCTGTAGCTAGGTGCACCTGGGAAAGCAGAGCTGCAGACAACGGTGGAGGGCAGCAGATGCACCAAGTGAAATCCCACATCACCGTGTCTTCACAGCTGCATTAAACCCAGTTATCTAACCCCACTTCACCAGCCCCAATGAAGAAGCATGGGGTTTTGCTGTGTGCAGACCTGGGAAGGAAGCGAGAAATCCCTGGGGTGGCCACCTCTTGAATGTGGTGCCCAGCTCCGTCCTCGCACCCCCAGGAGGAGAGAGAAGAGCTGGAGCAGGCGCAGAGAAGGGTGGCGGGGATGAGGACCGCTGCAGAGGGGCTTCCCTCAGAGAGACTCATGAGGCCAGGCCTGGGCAGGGCAGAGATGCTGGAGGGGGCAGGAGAAGGATTCACAACGCACAAAATGGCCAAGAGAAAGTCCCTGGGGATCGATCATTGCCTGTCTCTCTCCAGACAAGGACGAGGGGTCACAGCATGGACCGAGCAGCCGGCAGTTGAGCATGAACACCAAGCCTCTCTTTTCCCTCCAAGTGGCATTAAAGTGGGGGCTCATGGTCACCAGCTGCGGTGGGAGCCGAGAGCTCGGGCAGATCCACCCGGGACTGGACACGGGCTTGGAGGAAAGGGGCACGGGGCGCTCTGGAGCGAGGGGCACGGCCTCTGCATCAGACCGGCCTGGACCTTAAGGGCTGCAAGGGAGAGAGGAACAGGGAAAACCCTGCTCGGACCCTGTCCTCTCCCGTCCAGCTCCGCTCTCTGCCCAGTGACACCAGGGACTGGGCACGACAGACCTGGGTCTGACCTGGTCCACAGCATCTCCAATGCTCTTACACCCAGCCCAGCAGGCCCCACATAGAACAAGGCTGTCCCGCTGCATGGAGCTGGCTAGCAAAACCTACCCAGTGCCACGGTCGTGCACGACACCACGAGAGGACCCACCCCTGATGCACCTGCCATGAGGCATCCCAGCTGCAACCCTCGTGGTGAGGCTACAGGGCAGACGGTGCCATCTGCTGAAGCAGCTGAGCCCGGCCTTGTGGCTCCCAGTTCAGTTCTCCCGGTCGCTGAAGGGTCCAGGTGAGCACGGAGGGGGCGAGACGGGTCCAAGCTGCTCAGTGCAGGTGAGGCAAGCCCGGAACAGGAGCAGGCTTTGTCTGCAGCCTGCAGGGCCTGGCTGGAGCTGGGGGAAGGTTAGAGAGGTGCCAGTGGGACTGGAGGTGCCCAGGCAGGCGTGTGGGAGCTGCAGAGCCCAGCATGGGAGTAGCACGGGGGCTGTGGGTTGGGGCTGGGGGGAAAGCACTCTGCTCTGCCCCAGCTCGGAGCAAGCCCTCGTGGCTCAGCAGGGGCCTGGGTGCATGGTTGCACGCGAGGCCAGGAGCAAGGCAACGGCCTTCTCTTTTGGGCTCCGGCTGTGTCCCTCCGGAGAGGTCTCCGGCTGGGCTCCTGGAAGGGGCATGGATCTGGCAGCGGGGAGGAGGGCAGCATTTCAGAGGCTGCCACCGGAGCCGGGGAGAACCCCCCCCGGGAGCCTCCCAGCCCAGCCCGGCCCCCTGCCTGCGGGCTGCAAGCCACAGCTCAGCCCCCAGCCGCCCCGCGCCCTGGCACCCGGCTGTGTCCCTCCGGAGAGGTCTCCGGCTGGGCTCCTGGAAGGGGCATGGATCTGGCAGCGGGGAGGAGGGCAGCATTTCAGAGGCTGCCACCGGAGCCGGGGAGAACCCCCCCCGGGAGCCTCCCAGCCCAGCCCGGCCCCCTGCCTGCGGGCTGCAAGCCACAGCTCAGCCCCCAGCCGCCCCGCGCCCTGGCACAAGCTCCTCCGGTGCCCGGGGGCCCCCGGCCACCCTCTACCCTCCGCAGCTGCAGGGGCAAGGGGGAGGCC